GTGTTGTCCCCGACGTCTTGGGCAGCCCCGGCCTGCGCCATGGCGCTCTGCAGGACCCGGCCTGCCTCCCCGCACCTGCTCCCCTGCCCCTCAGAGGCTCCTGCTGGGGCTCCAGCCACCCCCTTCTCCCTTCAGCAGCTGTCCCGTCAATGCCTGGTGAGTATCCCCTCACGCCTGGCTCCCCCTTCTCTCCCAGGGTAAGGCTGCGCTCTGTCACGTTCACCCTCTCCTTCCCTTCAGCTCAGACCCCTCCATCAGGCTGCCAGAGGCACAGTGCTCCCCAGTGCCCGCCCTGTGGGCCGAATCTATGGGGCTGGGAAGGGCTGCAGCTCCCTGGAGCCGTGCGGCTGCCAGCGCAAGGGAGCCTGGTGGTTGGGGCACCCTCCTGGGCAGCAGCTGAGGGCACACGGGCAAGCGGGGATGCTGTGGCTGGGCTGGTGGTGGTTAATGGTCTCTCCATCCATGCACGCTGTGGCATGGCTGCAAGCGGGAAGCTCGTACCTGGAAGGCCGGCGGCATGTCTGAGGCAGGCGGGGGTATGAAAGCAGTAAAGAGGGTAAGGGGACTTGCCGGGGAGGCTGGGCGAGGGGGAGCTCAGCAAATCGCTTTCCTCACACAGGCAGCCAGCCCGGAGCGACTGGCTCTCAGGTTGGGGCCTCGAGGGAGGCCAGAGGATCTGGCTGCGAGGAACACGACTCACGCTAGCAGCAGGGTCCTTCAGCCGGCTCCCGCCCGCGGCAGGATCAGCGGCTGCCCAAGTCCCTCCTCCCGGGCTCTGTGGCTGCGGAGCCCGAGCTGAGGGGCCCCAGCACTCAGCCTGTGGAGCGGGGCTGGCACCCGAGGGGGGAGACAGGGAGGAGGGGTGCGGAGCCCCTTTCCCATGGCTGCTGTCCTCCAGGATGTGGCCACAGCATCTCCTCCTCCTCTCTTCCATCTCAGGTGCACCACTGGTGCTGAGCGCCTCTCTGAATGCCCCGCGATTTTGGACCCGATGCCCCTCGGCAGCGCATCCCCTCCAGGTACGCAAACTTTCGACCTTTGCGGGGCTGCTCTGCGGGCCAAACCACGTGTGTGTGGCTGGGCTCGGACCGCAGGCAGGGAGCTCAGGGGGCTCCCGGCCCTGCCTTGGCCTGGGCTCGGGGGCCGGCCGAGGTCGGCTGATCTGCCTCCCTCCGCCCTTGGGATGAGCACTGGCTCCTGGCTCCTTCCTCCCAGGAGGAGGAGGAGGACGGGATTGTGTGCGAGCGTCCGTTCCAGCTCTTGAACAGCAGCCGGGCTCCTCTGGAGCCGGCGTCCCCAGGAGGGGCTCTGGCCTCGGGGCTCGGCGTTTTATGGGGCTGTGGATAGGACGCAGCTGGCTGCGGTGGTGACACACACACCTCAGCGGTGGCCAAAGCCACGCGCACCCCTCTCTCTTCCCCTGGCCGCCCTGAGCCAGCGCTGACGAGGCACTGGGGACCCGGGTG